CAATAAAATGGGGCGTATATTAAGATAGTAATGTGATACATTTAGTATATTTTTAACTTACTGTGTTTCATCGGAAATGGACCGAAATTGAAGAAACGGTGCCATAATTTAAACACTTTTAACCGATAAAAACCAAGAGACCAAGGCCCGAATAGAAATTGCCCGAGGATCGTTCAACAAAATGAAGAAAGTTCTATGCTCCCGCCAGTTGAGCGTTATAGAGCCAATAGTCCTCTATGGTTGTGAACCATGTTAGTGAAAAGAAGACACTCATAGACGCTTTGAAGCATTTGAGATGTGGTGTGATCGTCGCATGCTTCGGATCAGTTGGATCCAAAGAATATCAAATGATGTGGTACTTCAACGCACTGAGATGACCAGAATGCTGCTACGGACTATCAAGCAGCGCAAAGTTGCATACCTGGGTCACGTCCTTCGCCATGACCGCTACTGCCTCCTCCAGAGTAGAAGAAAGAAGTCATGGCTGCGAAACATCAGGGAATGGGCGGGGATAGAAATGGTTGAGGCATTGCTACATCTCGCAAAGGAAACCAGTCGCTTACAAAAGCTAACGGCCAACCTTCAGTGATGGAGAGGCACGAGAAGAAGAAGAACCGTTAAAACGTTAATATCAGTAAAATATTATTATTAAGTAAAAGGCCAATTCGAAGTGTTTTACACAAAAGTGTCTGTCGGGTAAACCACAGGCTATATATTACGTTATTCTATAAGATGTTAATACAGGTAAAAAATACTAAATCAAACCAGCCAGTATCTCAAATAACGCATGACCGAATCGTTCAATTAGTGCGTTTAAAAATAAAACAGTCACACTAATAATATTGAATTTTTTAATCTTTATTAATCATCGTTGTATTTTAATTAATGTTAGTGGAGATTTTCGATAATTCACACAATTAAATGTTAACATTAATTAGTAATTGTGACCGAACATATGTATCTTTTTATAGATAAAATGTATGATTAATTAAGCCGCTTTTATAATCTGTGTTCTGATTAATCGATGATAACCAAGGAAACACTTCGGTATTTGAGTTAAAGAAATACGCTGAAATTAGGATAGTCTGCAGTGTTGTATAGGCCTGAATTTAAAATATGTGTTGTGGGCATTTAATCGAATTTGATTTTGGGGTACTGTATAAGAATATTGCCCGCTTCTGTAGCCAAATGCTTAAACGTATTTACCGTTACGCGCGAGAAATTTTGGTTTCGAAATTTTTTCGGTCGTGCAAGGCTTAGAAGATCACTTGCCTGTTAAATAGAAACGGACGCAGAAATGTGCTCGCACCATGCCTCTCGAGGGGGAAACGTGATTTCACACACACATATAAGAATAATTGATGATATGTTACAAACAGGATAGGACGTGGATAAACTTAAGCTTTTCTGTAAATTTGTAACTCTCCTCACATTTTTAAATTCTATTAGTAGAAAAATGATAAATGTATTTAGACTTGTATCCTCAACGTTTTATCCTCGTTACAAAGTGATAAAACCTACACTCGCTAAACCACAGCTAAAAACTATTTAATAACACCGCTACGAACACCTTAATAAAAATTAAACAATGCCTTAAAACTTCGGTTATCTCATAAATTCATTCGGCATATTTTAAACCTAATTACAAGTTACACAGAGTTCATTATACTGCCTATAATTATCACGTATTGTTGCATACATTTGTAAGCGTTGTATGCAGTGTTTATCACCTATTTTCAAGTGGCAATTAAATGTGTATAAGAAATACCACTTTGTAAAATAAAAGTTGTTTTAGGTTCGGAATATTTCGCCGGGAGGTTTGCACGCGAATCTTAATGCTAAAATTAAACGCTTGTTATTCAATTTTGAAACTGTTATTATGTTTTATTGCTATATTCGTACGAATATTTTAACGTCCCGCAGCTGGGCTTAGTTTTTTCTTATCATCATTTTGCTGCTGGTTTGCAGGTAACCAGTGATGATGATGGTAGCAATGTGTGCTGGATATTAAACTGGTGGTATTTCCGATTTTAATCGCTTTTCGCTTTCAGTCTGCGGATTTCCGAAAGCCACAATGGGTGATAGCGAATCTTGTTTAGATATTCTTTTTGTTTGTGAATCTTACGCTCGTCTGTCCTGCTCTATCATAAAAAAATATTAATATTTAAACTTGCCACAGCTGGGTTTAGTTTTCCACTTTCTTTTATATTTCCTGATAATTGGCAGGCTGCGATGATGATCGTTAATTATTGATGATGGCGATGACGATGATTGAACCGACGACACTAAGGCAACGAAACCTACTTCCAAATTCTGAGCTGGTACTTAAAATATTCTTAGATAATTTTCATATACCGATAATATTTCGCCTGCCCAATGATGCCAAGTGGAACGTTGCGTAACCACTAAATCAATGTGAAAATATAAAAAAAAAACTACTTAGTGAGGATAGCCATATATTCAAGCTGTTTCTCTAACCAATTGAATGAAACACGGTAGCTTAATCGATTATAGCAGCACGGAACGCTATGAATGCCGATTCAAATCCCGTCTCGTCCGTATCGTCTTTTTTTAATATCTAAATAAATTAACATTTTTTATAAAAATATTCAGTTTTCATTTCGTATGGAGTACTTTAAAATTTAGTTATAAGTACCTACTATAAATTGGTTTACATTTATATGCGAGCATATTTTTTGGGTATCTTGAACCGTTTTCGCAGCGTACCTACGCAATGGAAATCCAGAAGAATGAATAATTTTCTTCGATTTTTCGATATTTCCCGCCGTTTCTTCGCTCCTATTAGTCACAGCGCTAAGTTTTATAGCCTATAGGCTTTCTCAATACATGCTTTAACTAACACAGAAAGATTTTATTAATTCGAACTAGTAGTTCCTGAGATTAGCGCGTTCAATCAAACAAACAAACTATTCAGCTTTATATATTAGTAAAGATATGTAATTTTATATATGTAGTTTTTAGTAGGTATGTTCAAGTGAATAAGTATACTAATAACAGTTTAATCTTATCTATATATTTTAGAATGACGTCGGAAATCCTAACTCGACTTATCAGTGTGTTCAATACGAAAAGCCCGCCTATATATTTGAAATATTATTTTTAAGGGCAATGTTAGTTTTTATAAAATTGTACAAATCAAGGGATTCATGATATAAGCATAGATAATTCACGAATAGGTGAATGGATGTGTTTAATTTATTTATTAATAGATTTAAAATGACAATTATCAGTTAATATCTTAGTTTTACATAGTTTACATGTGTGTACTCGCGGGTACATATTCTGATAAATACTTGTTATAGGCCCAATTCTTATAAAAAAAGAAAAATCTTATATATAAAAGTTAAACAACTTCAACGGTTTGAAACGCGAAATATATTAGTTACTCATATTAATTTATTTTAAGTGCGACATGTTCTGTCTGATATTTCTGCAGCTGTGGTCAAGGGAGGGTTAACTTATTTAATTTACGTTTAAAACCATTACAAATGTTTTTTTAAAAGCGCGCAGACTACACTCAATACTTATAAAAAAAGTTTGAAAAATAATGTAAATAATAAGTTGATTGCGCATTTTTATTTTCCTCCTTTTTAAAAATGTTTTTTGTTATTAGGCCACTCTGCCTCTAGCAGCCTCATATTAATTCCTAATACTATTAAAACGGAAGATAGGCTACCTATTGATCAGCAGCAAAAAGAATCAGGACTTTAAATAGTTAAGCGACACACAGTAAAAGCATAACATTACTTTTACCGATATTTTTTTATGTACAATAAGCTTACGCATACAAAATAAACAAATACGCTGTTTTGTTAATATCAATCGTGACAGTAGATTCTTCATCGGTCCTTACTTTTGTAAACTATAAACTTACTACTAATTATATTAAGATGCTACGAGCGTAAATGAGCAAAAAATAAATATATGGACCCCACAGCGCTTTTCATTACGCTATCCAACGCCATCTGGTGGGCGCTAGGCAAAACAAGTGGAGTTATGCTGAGGTTCCAGTTTTCCCACCAAAAATGCAGAGAGCCTTGTACAATGAAATCTTTTCACCGATACCAGACATACCATTTGTATTATATGCTCTTTCACTCAATAAAATAATAATATAGGAATAAGAACAAACCCTAGGTACATACCTACCTGTATTTATCAAGAAAATTTGTATGGAAATCCTATAGTTATGTGTAAGTCTTCATAGTTGGTAAGAACATTATATAGTTATACCTTCAAAGGTGTGTTTTTTTAATTACTAACATTTTTTATACAAATACGATTTTACAATTACAAAACTAATTGTCTGTTAATTAACTCACACGTGTAACGCTAAATACCTACTTATCAACGTTATTTGAAATACACGTGGAAGAATTTATTATTAACTAATTTAAAAATGAAGGTGTTACGTACATCTAGTTACATATATTTATCTTATATGACGCGGTATATGAACGCTGTGGATGCCGGTTCGATACCTGCCCGTGTCTTTAATTTTTTCAATCTAATATCGATTTTTAATTTAGATATATCTGTATGTACCGCCTAGTTACGTGTTAAGTGCAAAAGGTCACAAAATTCTAAATTACTGTCTGTTTGTAAAACCGATGGGTAAAACTGCCACAAAATTGTGACCACTTTTTTCAAAATAGGTACCTAATCGTCACGCTTAGACATTTTTCCTAATTTTGAAAAATGTAAATTTTAATAACTAACGGAATTTTATGTTATTTAATTTTTGGCAAGAAAGTTCGATATAAAAGCAGTTTTTTTTTATTATAAAAATTAACAACATAATAAGATATTTAATATTATTTGTGTACCTAGTACCTATTGTTATAAAAATAATGCCTATACACTTATTAAAAATCTATAACACGAACTTCGTAAAATCTACGTTGAATACTATAATCTTTATTTAATATTAGACTTTTAAGTATATTAATTGCAAAATCTTATATATATCACCTCTCATCATGCTCGGCATAGACAATAGGAGACAATTCGCTCTACCATCTGACAAGGTGAAAAAAACTTGTCTCCAGTCGACTTTTTTCAACTACAGATTTGTTTGCTCGTACTCTCCGCGTCGAAAACCCATAAACATCGCTCCACCACTTTTTTCCTCAGCCCCCACCCTGGACGACGGGGATGACTCGAGTGGGCGGTGTCTACCCACAGTGGGGATAACACGCGCAATCGGATTCCATATCAGTCCGAAAAGGATGGACGATCCGCCCGCTGATTGGTTCGTAGAGCGAGGCTCCGCCTGAGGGCGGGCTGAGAATGGTCGTTTCCTTCAGTGGAGGGGCTTATACGGTCTGCCGCGCGCCAGTCTGTGTTAAGATCTGGTCGTGCGAAGGTGTCCGTCGTTCTGGCGAAAGGGATACGGGATGCGTGTTCGAGTTTCACCCTGACGCGCGGTTGGAAGCGCGCGACCCGCCGCGCTGTTGTACTGTGATAATTAATTTAATATAACAATAGTTGAACCGTCCAAGACTTTGAGAGACAGTGTATTGTGAAGCCGCCCATATGATCGTCCCTATGGCAGCGTACGCGCAGTTCGGCTACTCATACCCGCCACCTTCGCAGGTAACCTCCATCTTTAACTAACTCAACACCCACTTTAGCACTAGGATCTCTAAATTTCAACACAATCCTAAGATGTACTTCAGTATTTGTGCAATATTTGATTCTTATAATACTGTACATATAAGCCAATATGGTCCTGCGTGTATTTTAATATATTCTTTTACTAATAGCTCAATTTAATATTTTTTAGTGGTAATTAATAATAGATGTGATTCTTAGTTTAATTTGAATATAATTTTGAAGTAGCGTTACTGAAATACATTTGTTAACGTGTGAAAAAATTGCTTTTGTTACTAGGAGTGTGGGTAGTTAAAAGTTAATTAAAGTTCTATTAATCGTATTTTTATTTGGAAATAACGTTTCATGAGATAAGAAGCGAAGCGTAATACAAAAGCTTCTCGTTTGCTTGTTCTGAAAAGCGGCGACGTCCCGCGCAGTTAATTAACTTTAGTTAAAAAAAGAGAGTCTTTGACCGGGGGTTGAATTGAATTAGGAATTCAGTTTTTAGATAATGTTGTAATTATAATACAGTGCGAAGTACAGCGTGAATCTTCATCAGTTCTTAACAGATTATTTCTTTCACTTAAAGACAATGACTTATTAAATTTGCAGTTTGCGACGGCAAATATGTTGTCTGTTGAATGTGTTAGGCCTATAATTGAGCTGATCGGAAAAAGGTTCAGTAAATTAGTTAAACCTAGGTGTAGAGATTTTCGCTAATGTTATGCATGTTAATGTTAAATATGCCATAATAAATAGTTTTCTCACTATATACCCGCTAGGTCGTGGATTCGAATCCTGGAAATACAATAGTCGCGGTTCGACATGGCACAGAAAAAATATATACTTGTCTGTATAAAAACGCTATCAGTAAAACAGGCACAAAATTGTGTCTGCCCTACGTTTCTTATTGGGGTAACGGGATTTTACACAACCCTATAAAAAGCGTCCGTTTTAAGTAATCTGTCGTTGATTTAAACCGTTAATTAATTGTAGGTAAGGTTGTACATTGACAAGAACACTAAATAGCTTATTCATCTAGGTAAATAGGTATTTGCTTCTTAACGATTCTTTTTACATCTAAGATTGTTTGAAGATAATTACAGATTCTGTTTTGAGGTTTAACGAAACAATAAACCTTTTAAGCCTAAATATAACTAGCAAAACGTAGCTAATTTACCTGCTAGACTGTGTTTTCTCTTAACACCATGTGATGAACAGCAAAACATCCACTGTTTGTTATAACATCTTATTAAGATTCCCTGTCGACCTATTTTAATTTTGTACACTTCTTTTAACATCTATTGACGGATGTCTGGTATTTTCACTTCTCATTTAATATCCAGATTTGACGGCCGCGAATTACGTTTTAGACATTTCAGGATTAAAAAATAACAAGGGGTTTCGTTGATTTCTAATTCGTTAACAATTTCTTATAAGAAATTATATTTACTACAAAGTCAAATAAATAAGAAATAATAAAAATGATGCCTACTTCTCGCCTATAGGTACGTATAAAAAGTACTTACAAATATTCTTTACCTAAGTAAAACAACTATAAAATAATAATGTAGAGTGATAAGTATGCAAAGGTGTGAATTGTCAACAAAATAAATCAAGAACACAAACAAAAGTCTTCATGAGGGGTATCTTATTAGAATATTTCTTATTATTCATTTTACGTAATCATTAGGCATCAATTGAAGTAACAAAGAATAAATATCAAATTTATTTAATTATAATATCGGTAACTTACAATTAAAATTAGTTTATTTTTAAGGTAATAGTTATTTGAACTTTAGTACACGCCGACGGTATACTACCAAATGCCAGTAGATATTTAAATACCTTAGTCAAAGATTCTTTTGACCGCCTCTGTAGCTAAATGGTTGAACGTGCGTCCTAGCATTGCGTTAAGCGCAAGAGGCCCTGCGTTCGAATCCCGGGGATCAATAAATTGTTTCAGTCGGGCAGGGCACAGAAGTCTGAGTCAACTACTTGCCTGTAAATAAAAACTGATCAATGAAACGGACACAGAGATATTATCGCCGCATGCTTCACGAAACGGGATATCACTCTCTAAGTCAAAGATATTAGCGGTCTAACACATAACCCCATTAAAATAAACATATCTAATATATTTAGCGTTCAAATATAACACTTTACAGCGGCCGTGGTCACGGGGAGACCAAGCATCCGAAAAGGGCCGTTTAAATAAGTTTAACAAATATAAATCGTTTTAAACCGTTAAAGTGTTTTATTTAAATGTGTACAACTCGCGTAAACACAGACAGTATTTACATTTAGCCTTATAAACCGTTATAAGTGTTTCAAATAAGGGTTTTTGGTTCCTTTACCAGAAACCATTATATAAGAATTGGTGTTTTAACAATCGGATTACTTCGACCTACTACGAAGCTTACAAAACTGAAAACTGGGGTTTTACCTACAGTATTAGGAATTAGGTAATAATAAATATTCTTCTTCTTCTTTCAAAATCATTCTTTCTATAAAGCGCTGTTGTAATGTAGAGTTTGATAATGAACGCGAATGATGTTTTGTACCTAGCGAAGGGAACCTTTTTACTCTTTGAAACTGTAGGTATGAAAGTTAAATTCTGCATCTACCACCCCCTACTACGTCTAGGTTTAGCCACATTTCTGTGTCCGTATCGCTTAGCATTTTTAATTACAGACTAGCTATTTGACAACATGTTGAGTTACGCCCTGCCCGACCGAGTTCATGTTTTCGCGGGATTCAAATCCACTATATTTTCTAACGGCTAGTTTCAAGATAATTCCTCCATGTTAAGGCTCTTAAATTACAACGTACAACATGTTTGATTTATAATCCAAGATGGTGATATACCAAATACCTAAATCATTATCGCCTCAGTGTTATCAGTGCGTCCTTATCAGAGGTTTTATCAGTTAACTCGCCATGTCGTCGGCGTCTTTTGTACAAAGTGTTATTAGAGCACTTAACGAATTATCGTTAAATAATTATTATTTATCAATATCGATCACTAATAATATTTATATGTGCATTTGTTGAGTTGTTATGGTGAGGAGATTGGAAAATTTTTAACAACACATCTGAAATAAAAACCTCAATGGCAGATAAATGTAATATTGCAGTAGGTATAATTAATAGTAACGCAATTCTTTGCTTTGCACTAATAACAGTAATTATATTTACTTACGTGTAGTTCTTTAACGTTTAGGTTTAAATTAACAAACAAATAAAACTGTACAATAATATCTCCGTCATATTCGATGTCTTTAATGACTTGCGTTCGTATTATTAATAAACACTAAGTTTTAATCGATTTTTTAGTATTTCTAATATCTGTTTTTTTAATTCCTTTTTAGATGCCTAGTCTCCGGGTCCAGGTTTTAAATGGCCTTTCATATTATGAGTTCGATTATTGCCATCATGCATTAAAATACTATTCATTGATTTGAGTAAAGTAAAAGAATGGGTTAGTTTAATTTGTAAAATGACTAATTTTAATAAATATCAATAGTTCGAAACGGAAAATACAATAGTTACATAATTCTTACTCGACGTCTTGCAAACATCTATATCTAACTACAAATACTTACAGATGTTCACTATTTATTTAACTTCATTAAAAAATAAATTATTCTAACTTAGCTTAACACTTCTCCCACCATCTTGGTTCGCAATATTCGTCCACCCATTTATTTATACTCGCAAAAGCGTGGTCCTCCATTGACCATCTGATAAAAAGCTGAATTTACACGAACGGGTTCTAGTTACGAAAGAGACAATACACGCCTTTAATAAAACAAAAAACACGATACGCGCCTAGTGTATAAATTATTATTAGTGATGTGCTACGGTATTCGTGTTAACGATAACATTTAGTCTAAACGAGTACTTATTACATATTTTAAACTGTTAGGTTATAAACATCATACACAACGCCGGCAGATTCTTATAACTTTTTAAATGAAATCATCAAGAAACTAGGATATCTAAAACCCATAAGTTTCAATGTGTAAACCTACCGATATTTATGTGGCCAGTGTTCCCATATCCCAGCAGTAGGAACGGACAAAGGAATGATTACACGTAACGTTTTGAATGTAACATACCATGATATGAAGCTGCTAGAGCCAGAGTGGCCTAATAACAAAAAAAACACGATTTTCAATAAGGAGGAAAATAAAAATGCGCAATTAACTACTACCTACTATTTGTGTAAGAATTATGTTAACAATTTTGATTATGAAAGTATAAATATGTACTCAAGTCATTGCTATTAGGCCTCTAGCGGCCTCATATCTACTAAACAAAAATTACGCGTTTTTTAATGGCGCGTTATGTCCGTCACATAGAATACATAAGGACGTTGATATATCCGAAGCCGAATTAACACGATATATCTTGTGTTTGATTTGGCACATCACCAATTATGATTATTATTTTCCGGCGTCGTTTAAGATTCCATTTCTCCGCGTTATTGCGATGTTGTGTAATATCCCTCTGTTCTTCGTCTTCGTGGTACTGAATTACTGATAGGCAATTAAAATGCTTGCAATGCAGACAACAATGCTACGAAGCGCGCACCTTGTCAACGGCGATGACAGTGTACTAATTGCCAACAGTTGTTTGTACAGCCGATAACGAAAACGTCAAATATAAAAATAAGCTTTACAGGCAGGTACATTTATTAATTAGTGGGTTACCGCTTATAAAATAATGCCAAAGGAAATATGTTTCTAATATGTATATAATAATACTAGCAGTGCCAGCGACTTCATCCATAAATTGGGCATCAAAATTTGTTTTTGCAAACCTCAATTATAACGTCGTTCTTGCAAGATAAACTTACAAGACATTTTTTAGGTAATTCAAAGAGGAATCATTATTTCATATTTGTTTTTGGGTACATTGAACCGTTATCGCAGCGTACGCAACGGAAACCCACAAGTTTGTTTTATAGCCTTCCTCGATTAATACTTAAACGAAGT